GTTCCAGAACATCCGCACCGCCCGGCTTTTCCTGAATAAATGTCGCTTTGGTGATTGGTCTGGCTCCTTGCCAGGGCGTCTTGAGAGTTACTGAAAAACCCTCGCCTCGGCATGTACAGTCGTCATGCGGGCACTTGATCAGACAAGGGGAACATCATTGGTGGGGATTTTAGTCGAGTCCGTACGACTCCCCCCCCCTTTTTTTGGTTTGGTACAACCCCCCCCCCCACCGGCCCTCTGTCCCTCCTCATCGAATCGAGCCGTCGAGATGGGAGGGAGAGGGAGTAAATAGCACATGTGAAACAGGAAAAGCCGCGAGACAATACGACCCATCCCTCCCCCTTCTACCAATTCTCAGATTTTCCCCAACTTCCTGCAACCTTTTCCAAAATTTCCCGAAAACTTCCCTACTTTTTCACAAAAATTTTTGCTGTCGAGCGGGGGAGGAGGGGGGGGGTAGGGGTATATAGTACGCATGAAACAGGAAAATCACGAAACGTCAACCTCACTCCTGGAAAGCACAGAACTTAAATACGACCCCCCCTCCCTTTTACAACGTCCGTGAAGCGAGAAAAATCAACTATCAAAATAAATTTTCCTCAGCCCAAATACGACCCCTCCCACCCTGTTGGAGACTTCACAACAACGATGTGGCTCGGATCAGACGGCCAAAGGGTCGCGACGTGGCTGCAGCGCGTCGCGACCGCGAAATCAGCTGCTACATCACAGATTAGAATGGTAGAAGTTCAGGCAGCTGCACTCCAGCTGTACAGCTCCCCACCGAGATGCCGTCGCTCTTGATTTCACTTTTCGGTGATATAAGTGCCCAACCAGTCATATGAATCGTTGGTCCAAAGACTCGCAAAAAGAGTATCGGCTCGAGCCTGTCGGATCTTGAAGTTCAATTTCAAGTATTTCTGGAGACACCGCATTTACGTCTACGCTACCCTAAAGTCCTGTAGGCGAATCCGCCATAAGAGAAGTCCGCGCGAAATCGTGATGGCGACTCGCAACCTTCTTTCAATCAGAGGTTTCTTGGTGGCGAAAATTTTTTTCACATTTTCTCTCCTAGAAAATGAACTGTAACTTTTCCAGCTGCAATCTGGACCATTACCACCAAATTATGTCAATGCTCAGAAGATGCCCGGCTCACTCCTAGTGAGGACAACTGACAGATATCAGGCTCCCTGTTTCCAAATAACATTTTCTTGACAGGGTTTCTAGGGACCACCTTCAACGATTCGTTCTGTTATTCTTCCTTCGCTAAACGCTTCATTAATTTTTACGGTCATTCCCGCTGTTTCGCTATCCAGTTCGAGGTCTTATAAGGAAGTCTCTCGAAACCAGTTATACGCCGTAATTCCTACCTTTGGTGAAAGATTACCAACAACAGCTCTATGCCTTGGAACTGTCATATCATTTCAGAGGCCAAGGGTGAAAAACAACATGGAACAGCATAGCACAGCACAACGCTACGAATCAAATTAATCAATTCCTGCTCTTTTTGAGGAGCAGGAAAGCTTCCTATTGCTTTTAAGCTGATCCAGGAAAATTCAAAAGTGGAGGAACCTCAAGAGAGATCGTACCAACATATTCCTATACGTTATCCTTTTGTAGCTGTTTTTAAGGTGAGATAGCGCTTGATTCGAGGAATAGATTGGTACAACAACTTCAATAGTCATTTCAGGAATCTCGTGTCCAGGCGTGAGAAGGTTCTCAAGGTGACACATTCCTTTCCAAGAAAAAGAAAGAAAATGAGTTTGCCCCGCAAAGAGCAAATCCCATTTATCAGCACTGACGATGAGGAATAAACTGGTATGAACAGCTCGCTATAGTGGCCGTCTTATTAGCTAGTGGAGAAAAAGCAGGAAGCAGAACAATACTATCACTTTTTTATAGGTTCGCGAACTCTTAGACGTAGTCACAAGTAGCAAGTAGACAGGGTCAACCAGCACACCTTCGTTCGACATCCCTCCCCCCCCCCCCTCAAAAAAAGGCCTTCAAAAGGTTCTCGACCGATGGATCAACAGTTAGAAGACCACCTCCGTCACACGTCACTGTACGTACAAGGGCCTTTTTTGAGGGGCCAGTCCTCCTTGTAAGTACAGTGGTTCCATATACATGCAAAGGATTGAGCGTACGACGCGGCGCGGTTGGGATCGCATTCAATGTGGCCTTTTT